TGACCCTACATACAACAGAACAGAACACTGCCTAGTCCTGTGCCAAACTCACCATCATTTCTGTTTGAGCCCATTGTTGTAGCCACTGTGTCAATCCATATCATTAAGGGTCTTCTTTTTTACAAACCCTCCACTTAACCAAGCATGATGTCCTTCATGGGACTGACCCCTCCTAATAACATGTCCAAAGTATGTGAGAAGAAGTCTGGCCATCCTCCCTTATATGGAGCATGCTGGTTGCACTTCTTCCAAGACAGTTTTGTTTGTTCTTCTGACAGTCTCTGCACTTCAGTAACACCATATTCTTTGCCATAATTCAAATGCATCAATTCTTCTTCAGTCTTCCTTATTCATTGTCCAACTTTTGTATGTACATGTTGTTGTTGTTAAGTACCGTGGATTCAGTTCTGACTCATAGTGACCCTGCACTGGGTTTCTGAGGCAGTAAATCTTTACGGGAGCAGAAAGCCTCACCTTTCTTGCGTGGAACGGCTGGTAGTTTTGAATGGCCAACCTTGAGGTTAGTAGCCCGATTCGTAACCACTATGCTACCAGAGCGTCTTGCATGTACATGAGCCAATTGAAACTATCATGGCTTGGATCAGGCACACCTTAGTCCTTAATGTGACATCTTTGCTCTTTAACACTTTAAAAGAGGTCTTTTGCAGCAGTTTTGCTAAATGTAATATATTATTTGATTTCTTATTTGATGCTTCCACGAGTGTTAGTTGTAGATCCAAGTAAAATGAAACCCTTGACAACTTCAACCTTTTCTCCATTTCTCATATTGTCGATTGGTCCAGTTATGAGGATTTTTGTAATTTTTATGTTGAGGTGTAATCCATAGTGAAGGCTGTGGTTTTTCTTCTTTTTTTTTTTTTTTTATCTTCATCAGTAAGTACTTCAAGTCCTCTTCTTCATTTATAGAAAGCAAGATTGTGTCATCTGCACATTACAAGTTGTTAATGAGTTTTCCTCCCATCCTAATTCTCTTTCTTCTTCATATATGGGTTCAGTTTCTCACAAGGTAAAAAAGGAATAAGTACGGTGAAAGGACACAACCCTTGTGCACACCTTTCCTGATTCTAAATTATTCAGTATCCCTTGTTCTGTTCCAATGACTGTTTTGATCTATGTACAGGTTCTACATGAACACAATTAAGTGTTCTAAAATTCCCTTACTTCACAGTGTTATCCTAAGTTGTTATGATTCACAGAGTTGAATGCCTATGTATAGTCAATAAATCCCAGGTAAACGTAAGTTTAGCATTCTCTGCTTTCAATGAAAATCAAGATGACGTCAGCAATGATATCTCTCATTCCACATCCTATTCTGAATCTGGCTGGAATTTCTGAGTTTCCTGTCAATGTAGTAATGCAGTTTTTTAAATTACCTTCAGCATAATTTTACTTTGGTAATATTAATGATATTTTTAGATAATTTCCACTTTAAACTGGGTCACCTTTCTTTGGAATGGGTACAAATATGAATCTCTTCTAGTCTATTGGCCATGTAGCTAACTTCCAAATTTCTTAGCATACAAGAGTGAATGCCTTCAGACATTGCATCCAGTTTTTTAAAGCAGCTCAGCTGCAATTCCATCAATTTGTCAATTCCTGAAGCTTTATTTTTCGCCATCCCCAGTGCCTTCAGTGCCGCTTGGACTTTTTCCTTCAATACCACTGGTTCTTAATCATACGCTAAGTCCTGAAATGGTTGAATGTCGACCAATTCTACTAGGTGGTTGTTGTTGTTAAGTGCTGTCGAGTCAGTTTTGACTCACAGGGAACATGTATATAGGATTTCCAAGGAGCAGCTGGTGAGTTTGAACTGCCGACATTGTGGACAGCAGTCCAGAGCTTATCCTACAGAGCCACATCAGGACTCCACTAGGTGATTAGAAACCAGGAATTATAACTCTACTGTGTTTTGCCTAGGCTAACTTGATTCCTGTGTGCCCCACACATAATATCATGGAAAAGGGTAGAACAATTTACTTGCCTTATGAAAGATTTTTTTGTTTGGTTTGCATTCTTGCATTACTTCATCAATGTAATCTTTATTAAAGGCTCCAATTTAAGAGTAATACAGCGTTGTTGTTGTTGTTGTTGTTATGTGCTGTGGAGTCGGTTCCGACTCATAGCGACCCTGTACAGGGTTTCCGAGGCTGTAAATCTTTACGGGAACAGGAAGCCTCATCTTTTTCCCGCGGAACAATTGGTAGCTTCGAACTGCTGACCGTGAGGTTAGCAGCCTGATTCGTAACCATTGGGCTGTGAACCTTAAGGTCAGCAGCTGTTCCGCGGGAGAAAGATGAGGCTTTCTGCTCTCGTAAAGATTTACAGCCTCGGAAACCCTGTACAGGGTTGCTATGAGTCGGAACC